TTCGATAGTGTAATATGAATCATGTTGACGAATAATTGTGAAATCAGAAGTCCAAGCCCGCATCATCTGCTCCCGCCCCCTCTGGTGATAACGAGCATCTCAAGGCCATTGCCAAGGCACAATCCGCCAAGTCTCCCGAGACCGAATTCACCTATACTGACAGAGATTCGATGCTGTACAATCTCGGAGTCGGCGCCAAGCGGACCGACCTGGCCTACATCTTTGAGGGCCACGAGGACTTCCAGGTCCTGCCGACGTTTGGCGTCATCCCCGCGTTCGACGTCAACACGCCGTACAGCATGGACGAGGTCGTGCCCAACTTCAACCCCATGATGCTGCTGCACGGCGAGCAGTACCTCGAGGTCAAGAAGTACCCGATCCCGACGGCCGCCAAGACCAAGAGCTACGCCAAGCTCATCGAGGTCGTCGACAAGGGCTCGGCCGCCATCCTGAAGGGCGGCGTGACCACGGTCAACGCCGAGACGGGCGAGGAGCTGTTTTATAACGAGTCGACCGTCTTTTTGCGCGGCTGCGGCGGCTTCGGCGGCCCCAAGAAGCCCGCGGACCGCGGCGCCGCGACCGCCGCCAACGTCCCGCCCCAGCGCATGCCCGACGTGGTCGTCGAGGAGGCCACCACCGAGGAGCAGGCCGCCGTGTACCGCCTGAGCGGGGACTACAACCCGCTGCACGTCGACCCGAATTTCGCCAAGATGGGCGGCTTCAAGCGGCCCATCCTGCACGGCCTCTGCTTCATGGGCGTCGCCGGCAAGGCCGTCTACGAAAAGTTCGGCCCCTACAAGAACATCAAGGTCCGCTTCGCCGGCACCGTCCTGCCCGGCGAGACCCTCGTCACCGAGATGTGGAAGGAGGGCAACAAGGTCATCTTCCAGACAAAGGTCAAGGAGACGGGCAAGCCCGCCATCACGGGCGCCGCCGCCGAGCTCGTCTAGGGGAGAAAAGGACAGTGTGATTGATGATTGTGATTGAATAGTCGGAATTCATGTTTGTGGTAAAATTGTAGCGATATTGTGATTTAAGAGGTTCTCTCATGACTTTGTACGTTCAAAAGTCAGAAATAAATCTTTCATTAAACGGAATCTCATGCTTTTTTCAAAGCGCTGTAATGCAAAGTGATCGGAACCATTAATATCAACGCCGTACCAAAAATGCCCTTGTAAAAAGTCCCTTTCCGAGTGCATGCTATAACTCAGTAAACGCCAATCTTCCAATTTCCCTGATGCTCCGCAACCATGCGATGCGCCGTGCCGATCTAGGAATCTGATCCAAGTCTGGTTTCTACCGTTCTAATAATCCGTGTAATGCAGTCTTCTGCCAGGAGATCCGTGATAATGATCCCCTTGAGCATGATCGTGATCGTTATGAATGACATTGCCTTTATCATGAGCCCACAACAAATAGTGTTTCAATGATTCCGTCGCAGATATCTTCGACAGTAGGCATCTTGCTCGCGCCAGACAACAACTTGGTCATGACGTCGTTTTGCTTGCTGGCAACGCCCGTCTCGAGAAACGCCTTTTCGGCCTCGGACAGGTCTCTCCTCTCTGTTTCCTTCCACCGTCTCTCGGCCTCGGCACGGGCCTCGTTGAGGATGGCCTCGGTGTCTTCGGTCTCCCACAGGTTGCATTTTGCGCACTCGTGGCAGCGACTGCCGTCACCCTCGGGGCGAAAGTGCTGGCAGAAATGCTGATATCCCTCGGTGCTTGAGCCAATGTCCTTGCGGCAGACGTAGCACATCTTGTAACCGCAGGGGCACGTCAGCTTGTTGCAGCCGGCGTTCTTGACAAAGCTCGTGTTGCAGCGTGGGCAAACGCGTTTGATAGCCATGGACATGGCCTGCTCGACCTGCGTGCGTAGCGCCACCAGGCTCGACTCGTGGCATATGTGTATGTCGGCCCACGCCTTGGAGCACGACATGCATGACGACCGTCTGCACTCCGGGTTGCGACAGTTGAACTTGAGGCCGAGCCGACGCCGCTGGTACCGTGAAATGGCGGCGCGGAACTGAGCTCTGAAGACACTGCGCAGCGCAGTTGCACAAACAAAAAGGGTGCAAGTCAGGACGAGAAGGACGAGGGGCAGTGATAGCGGAGACAGGACTATGCAGAGAAGGATGAGGGCCAAGTTCGGAATGTTGCTTGCGCGTAACCTTAGCCGCCTCTTGTTTGTCGGAATGAAGAGCTCGTCAACCTCGGCGTAGCTGCAGAATGGGCAACGTACGAGTGGGATATTGCTGGCGATGAGTTCGTGCTCTGCGAGACGCTGATCCATCTTGTGAAGTATCTCGGCGCCGTTCTTCTGGCCCTGCATGGCGCGGTGGATGTGCTCAGCCGAAATGCAACCACTGCATTCGTCTGAACATACTGCCGGGCATCGAAGTGTTCCGGTAGCTTTGTCAATGCTTCGTATCCAGCCTTGACCAAACACGGCTTCGGTGATGGAGTGTTGAACACATCGGAAGCAAATCATGTGGTCCCTGGCGTTGCACGTGGTGATTTCTTCGAATGTAACGTCTCCGTAGCAGCATGTGCATTCATACGTGGCCTCGCAAGCTTCCGCCTCTTCGTTGTGGAGCTTGGCGGCCAGCTCGTGATCTTTTTCTTCTCGAAGAGCCGCCTCCCTCTGTTTCAGCGGTACGATGAGCTCTTCGAACAATTCCCGGTCAAGCTCGGCATTTCCCGTCGATTTGATGGCTGGTATAATGTATCCCTGTCCCGACGACTTCCATATGACCAAGGGGTGATGCTCTGCCTCGCCGGTCGTCACGGGTTTGCGCCGGAAGAATATCGACTGGAAGGTGAATTTCCACGACTTGGATGAGAGGTCCACCAGGGTCGGCCGCGCATCGAGGTACGAGAAGTTGGATTCGGAGAGGACGGCTTCGATCGCGGACCGTGAGAGACCCTTGAATTCGGTTTGGGCAAGGGCGCGAACCGCCTGATGATATTCCTTTCCTCGAAACGTCTCGGTCTTCGGAACCCGGTTATCGTCGTCGGCGTCGGCGGCTCGTAGCTTCCTCCGACCCTTGATCCAAGCCGACGGGTTCTTGAGCATCGCATCGGCGATTACGGCCACCCGGGACTCCTCCGAGAAGCTGTAGAGCATCTCGCGGAAGACCTCGATCTGGACATCCGGAAACACGGCTGCCAGGACCTCGAGGCCCTCGTTGAGGTCGATGGTTTCGTTCGGCGGCGCAAGGGGCTCTTGCAGCTGCTCGTCGTCCGTTATGTAGACCGGCGGATCGGGGCTCCGCGAGCGCTGCGAAGACTCGCTCCTTAGCGACTCCCGCGACTTGGCCTTTCGGGCGGCGCTGTTGCGCCCAGAGGCGCCGAGGATGCTGGAGAGGAACATGTTGGAAGATTGTTGGGGATGTGTCGGCTATTGCAGGCGTGGCCTCAGCCAAGAGTTTCGGTGTTCCGGCACATGGTACTACTCCGCCTTGCTGCTAGTGTAGGCAGCTGCGATAGAGAATTAAAATGGCAAGAGCTTTTGTAGCTATTCGGACGAAATTGTATGCGAAATCGCAAGAGCTAACAATCGGAGGATGTGAACAAAAAAAAAAAAGTAATTAGATGGGAGGAAAGTATCATCCCTTGTTCGGTCCCTAATCGCTGGGTTTAGTGTGGGGGACCAGCTGACCCCAGTTCCGCCTCCCGCGATCCAATCCTGGCACCATACCTACCCAGTGGCAGTCCTAGTAAGCCGAGCGCTTTCCTACAGACAGTCCAACAGGTAATTCTACAGATCTGATGATCATGGCACATTTATGGGTGAAAGGTTGATAAGTCTCCTACTCTGGACCTTTTGAGGTGGGAAGTTCAGGTGAATTCGGGTCAACAAGACGGGTACAGAATATCGCCATGTCAGATAATTGTGAGAACATCAGTCCCGAGAGCTAGGTAGGCTCACATTATGAACTAGGTTAGAGTGCTGTTATTGTTAGGAGAAGTCGCGAAAAAGCTATATGCGAAAAAAAAGAGAAAATACTCAAATATTCAAATCGATTTTACATAACAAATTTGACAAACAACTATGAAGAGGATTATGTTTGTCGATAAGTTGATTTTTATTTGCTCTCTGTGCGTACTTCTTGAGCTTCAAATCAAAAAGGAGGGAGAAATGGCAGCGATAAGAAAGAGAGCACAAAAGGTTCAGGTCAGAATATACACAAATCCGGGGCTCGAACGCTGGACCGGAGACATCCTCGGCTTGACTCTCGCAGTACGGGAGAAAAGAGTACCCCAAAATTCAGCGTTACAAAATAAAATAAGTGCACCAAACGGCGAAATCATGAGCACTCGGTCGCGGGAGATATATATAGTACATGGGTTGGTTGTATGGCGCCCATGTATAGCATTTCGCATGGCCAATTTCATGTGTGGATGGTCGTGGGTGAAAGCTAGATAGCACGGTATGCCATGCTTTCGGCCTCTGTTGAGTCCGAGTAGTCGTAAACACGACGGTCTTATGTATGCCAAATGACTATGGGGGCTCCAAACTCCCCCGCCTGTCGTTTTCAGGATTAAGCCTGCCTTATGCTACTTGTGCTAGGAGGCTGTCCGTGACGACCTTTGGTTTCAAACTCTGTGTACTCGTACGAAGTGGTCTGTACTGTTTTGTTTGTGGGCACCACCCTGGAAGGGAGGGAAAAAAGATAAGCCCACCACACTCACTGATCAATCCAGGTTCGAACATCGGGGCAAAAGCCAGCATCATCATCATACCACCTTTGCGAAAGGCAAAAGATCTCAGAAGTAACAATACCACTCAGCCGAATCAGATTGCGAGAAAGAGGGGGGGAAGTAATCAAAACTATCTAGGCGCGCCCGGGGCTCGAACCATGGACCCAGACATTGACGGGCGGCATTGGTTCGCAGGCAGTAGGAAAGAGCAAAAAAGGGAAGAACAGCATCAGTCGCAAGCAATAGGACAGCAGGAAAGAGGGCAGAAAGGGTGCAAAAAGGCAAAAATACAAAAGAGAGGGCCCGACCCCGGGATCGAACCGGGGACCACCTGCAAGAATCCTCTGTGAAGAGGAGGGAGTCACCCGAAGCAGGTATCATACCGCTAGACCAGCCGGGCTGGAGACGCTACATTTGATGTAACTAGCTTGATTCGTTGAAAGAAAGGTTGTTCATTTGAATCTATATCTGTCCTGAGGATCGTGATGTGTGTATAAGTCGAAAATGGCGCATAGCCAGTCTGATGGCGCTAGTGGAACTAGCGTGATGCATGGGCGGAAGATGAGCTAAGCCCGCTGTGGGGCCACCCAGCCACATGGGTCCTGTACTTCGTACCTTGCCCCTGCCTTGAAGCATTCAAGTTGCCTTACAATCAATTGAAGCAACTGCCCCGAGCCACTGCACAGCACAGCAGTGCAATTGGTGATGCAGCATGGTGTTTCCACACTATAGATAACATGATAACCCAATATTTGGCGATGCCCTCAGGAAGCATCTGACCTGAAGAGACCATCAAGAACCCGTGCACTAAACCTGCATTTCATGTGTTCACGGTCTGGCATGTCTCCCGCTGTCGTATACCTATTCAGCATCCTGCAGTTGAGAAACTATGCTGCTTTGCCAGTTGCAACATTATATGCATGCTGCAAACGGAACATTTGCTAGGTGACTCGTATATTCTTTGGTTCTTTCCCCCGTAAATTTCTGCCCTGGCAAGTACCTACCTAACCTAGGTAGGCACTTAGTTGTGGTTTCAGGACCAGTCACTAGAACACGTTCCTGCCTCTGCTACTTGGATCTTAACGACAACCAGAGCATCATTTCCTACCCTTTTCAGACGCACAATTTCCCACAAAACCTGAACCTGTTCATAAAGTCTCAGCACCTTCCAGCTTTACTCCATCAACACCACGCCATCCAACATCATCAACATTTTGCCCACAATGGCGCGCAGCCCTACGAGACTGGAGGACTTTGAAGCGGTCGAGATGGTAGCAGACTACGAATACAACATCAACAATGTTGCTGCCATCTTTCGCGATGGCTTTCCGCAAGAGTTCGTTTCCACTGAGCATGGATCTGAAGGCATCACCAAGCTATCGAAAGGCGAGCAAGGTTGGCGAATCCACGCCAGCCCATCCGGCCAGCAAAGCATGTGCGTCTTCGCACGCGGACCATCACATCTGCCCTCGTTCCTGATACCGACATCTTTTCTCCAAGTCGGCGCCAAGATGAACGCAATAGTCGAGCACACATTTCAAGTCACATCTATTCCCAATGGCGCATCGAGACCATGGTTGCGTCGATGTCTTCCAGCAACACCTTACCACCCACGAATGCATCGGTATACCACTGCATTTGTATTTCCCAGCATCCAGCAAATGGAAGGACAGAGCTTCGAAACAGCAAGATTCTGGCTGGCTCCCAACCTCGACATTGAAATCAACAGGCACATCATTTCGGGAGGCAATCTCAGACCAGACATGTTGTGCAACATGGTCATCGAGGTCACGGCTGACAAGAAGCCGCACCCCAAGCCTTTTGTCAAGCTTCCTTCCATTGGCTTGTATGAGAACTTTGGGGAGGCTTCATCCATGGCCATGTACATCGAGTCGCATGATCATTCCACAGGCAAGTGGCATAGAACACAAATGTTCCATCAGCAGCCACTGGATCATGTCAGTACGACCAATGTCTACACACCTAGACCATACATTCAGGTTAAGAAGATCCTTCAACTTCTGGAGCGTACACGATGAACAACCACGAACGAACACTTCACGGATCAGCAATTCTCAGTCGAGTCCATGAAGCATGTTGTCTATGACCACCTGGGCCAGACGTTTCAGTTTCTTGAGGTCCCATCTGTCACCATACCTCTGCCAAGGTTGATGTCCTTCGAGGACAATTCAGCTCTGATGTTCGACAAGTACCCATTTCTAGCAATCGGACCGAGCCAGCACCCTTCCTTTGATCATCGGAATACTGAGACTTACGATCGACCCATTCACCCGATGACCGTCATTCCCGACGACTGCTGCGATCTATGCTGGTGGATAATTCGATTCACGACAGGCGTACCCAGGCCATGTACAGGAGATCCTCGACAATGCAACAATTGCAGAGATTTCTTGAACCGTCCATGTACTTGGACCGATAGAACGACACTCGTCGAATGGTCGCAGACGGGTGATCCTTTGGATCTCTTCTATGGAAAGCAGGATGTTGACTTCATCCACGAGGAAATCATTGAGCCTTTCGGTGGCCAAGTAATGGTTCAGGAGTTCGGTGCTCGGGGAAACCAGTAAGACCAGAATAGCTGAGAGATGGAATGATCATGTTTGTCACTGTATGTTAGTGCTCCCAGTCTAGGTAGCGCTCGGCTGAACCATAGAGTGCCAAACATATGCATCGACTGCTTTTTACACAACCAAACATGAGACCATGCTGGCAATTTCGCTCTGTAACTCTGAAATTTTGGCCTTGATACGCAGCAAACTGGGGCAAGTGAATTGCCGTCGTGACATCTGCCGAGGCCCCCACTGATGGGCAGGTATCATTGAGCTCCAAAGTGGTTGAAGCATTCCATGGATGCAGAAAGAAAACACGCTGGCGATTGATAAATGTGAAACACCACATGTGCATCATGTACCTAGACAAGTCGCCCAAGTTACTAGAACAGGCGCGAGCCGCTGCACATAATCAAGCCACCACAAGATGCAGATACACCCGACATTTGGCTTGATGAAGAACGGGGTAACAAGGAGGCGATTTTGATAATTTCTCGTGCATCTAATTTTTTTTCCCTGTTCACTTGCATGTTTGGTCATTGGTCTGATCTTTGGGGCCTCGCATGATTTTCCGCGTTTGCTGGTTTGCACAATCAGTTGTTGCCTGGCTGCAGCTTCGAGATTTTGAAACCACCGCAATCCACCAACGCTTCCCATCACACCATTCCCTCCGGATCAGCTACAAACTCAATACTGCGCGAGAAGAAGCTTCGTCAACCTCAGGCACGTGTTCCTGACTGCGCTCCTTTTTTTATATCTTCTTTGTCGTCTCGTTTCCGTCCGATCTGCCCCGGTAACCTGATCTCCCTGATCTTGCGGACTGATTGCACCCAACGTGCCTTCCTTCTTCCATCAACCGCGCAACATCAAACAGCGGAAGGCACACTTGACATTTTTGCAAACGCACCAGATTTTTATTCTCCCACAAATTATACCACGTCCCACAAGTTTCACTACATCCCACAAATTTCACCACATTCAACAAATTCTCATCACCCCCAAAACAATCCCAAAAAAGATGCCGGCCACAATCGAGAGACATCTCTACCAGTCAAGCCCACTTCCCAGTACTGAAGGACCATCTCCTACTCATCTCAAAAATGTTTCCTTATCATTGCCGGAAGGTTCTCCGCAGAGTTCATCTCTACAGAACTTGGCGTTGGAAACATCACCACCCAGTGGCTGAAAGTCAATCGGGGCTGGTGAAGTTCGTCGTGAACAACAACAACGACGACATACGAGGTCGTCACGCTGGGCGCGGTGCCCATGCAACAGCGGGCACCGCCCAGACCAGAGGACTTGGACGGTGAGGCACCGCCACCACCGCCGCTGCCAGAGCCGGCCTCAGCTCCGGCTGGTCGGCCGGTCCCTCGTAAGTGATTCAGAACTATACTGGCCACCAGGTTATACTAACAGGTGAAATATATAGACATTCCCCGGGATCAATGGGACCAGAGGGCCGAGCGGCTCTGGCGTGTGGTCCTCGCGGAGGCCCGCGCAAAGCGGCTGTTCGGCCAAGTTCTCCGACAGAAAGTCGTCTCGCCAGAGGACTGGCTGGGAGACCTAGCGCTGCTGCCGCCGCCGCCGCCGCCGCCGCCGCCAGCTTTTCCGACTGGTCGTCGTGTTCCGCTAAGGTGATTAAACGATCACGACAACGACGACATACGAGATCGTCACCCCGGGCGCGGTGCCAATGCAACGGCGGGCACCGCCCCGATCAGAGGATTGGGGCGATGAGCCACCACCGCCGCCGCCCCTACCAGAGCCGGCCTCCGGGCCAGCTCCGGTTGGTCGGGCCGTACCGTGTAAGTGATCAAGAACTGTGGCGTACATGGGCTCAGCATGCATAGCTTTGCCATTTCCTGGAGGGTTGGGTGGCTCTGTGATGACCTGTCAAGGATATCATGGATCACCTCCCCATATGCCTTGCCCTCGGCGTCTGTTCCATTATTTTTGGCTTTCATCAGCCATGCGCATGCCACGTTTCGCGCTGTCCCCAGATGCTGGCAACCAGGTTATACTAACTGGTGAAATATATAGACGTTCCCCAAGACCAATGGGACCAAAGGTCCAAGCAGCTTTGGGCTGCGATCCTCGCCGGGGCCCGCGCCAAGCGGCCATTCGGCCAAGTCAAGGCCGAGATTGTTGTAAGTATCCCTAATCTCGCGTGATTATATTAGATATGCCTTATTGCCTTGCAAATTGTACTAAAAAGAAGAACACAGGACATGGCCATGACTTTTGCGGCTCCGGTCGGTGGGGCGTTTTTCTGGTCGGTTCCGCCTCCGTCTCCCCCCTCCCCTCCTCCGAGTGCCTCCGGCGCTCTCAAGCGTCCTCGGGAGGAGGTGGAGGTGGACGACGACGACGACGACGACGACGACGAAGACGAAGATGTGGTCGTGCGGCGCCCGAAGAGGCGCCGGCTGCTTTTGCAGCAGTAGACGAGTTTTGACATCAGGAGACTACCTTGTCGATATAGATCAATCTGACTTTATATCGTTGGTAAAAGGCCTTGCTTGTCTGGCGGTGCCGTGGATTCAATATGGTAGAATCCAAAATGAATGATTGCTCAAACTCCAAAATAGTTGATTGCTCAAAATATCGTAATAGCCTTTGCGAATAATTTCATCTGAATCACATGCCAAGACGATCATACTCACTTTTGGAGAATAACCTTATTCTAGTATTTCCATCTCAAGTTCGGACAGAATTATCACCAACGGATGATCTGGCAATCATACAAATCACACATCAAGACAACCCCTCGATGATCACAAGATACAAGTCACAGAAAACCTTCCAAGTGTTTGAATAATTCTTGATATTGAAA